GGATTCGAACTGCCGACCTTTCAGTTAGCAGTCAAATGCATTACCCACTGTGACACCGGGGTTCCAAATCACCTTAAAGTGACCCAAATTTCTGTCTATATAAAATCATTTTTATTTATAAAAAGCCATGCAATATTTGGTGTGAGAAAAGGCATTGAGGAGGAAGATGGAATAACAGGTAATGAAATAATCTTACCTGCTTTATAAAACCCTTTAATGGCCCTAGTTTTATTTGATTCTTAAATCCTGTGAGATTGTCAGAACTTATATTATTATCATTTTTTCTAATAAGAACACTAAAACTCAGAATGTTATAATAACTTATCCAAGAATACTTTGCCAATTTTCATCATAAATTTCCTCATGGTTCCCCCCAGCTCCAACATTCTATGAAGAGAGACTTTTCAGGATTCTCTAGTACTCATCTGAAAGACCAGGACAAGCTGAAACTCAGTCCAAGTTCTGTGAGTCCCACACCTACCTGGTGAGTGGGAGTGAGAGGTTGACTCTATAATATCAACATTCTTTCTGTATCTTTCATTTTACCACCCACAGAGAGGTGTAAAGTCATCATTATCTCAATCCTCTCATTTTATAATCCAGGGTATGCTTTTCACAACTAATCCCTGCCTCCCACCTTAGTGCATGACCTCTTCTATGAGAGTCAGTCCTTGAGCGCCCTCTCTTTAGGGTATTTGAATTTACAGGCATCTAAGAGAAGACTGTTGTTGTGAACTGCACTTAAAGGCATTTCAGGCTTCAGCTAGCAAGTTTCCAGTATCAGTAGCTATAAGGAGCTGCAGACATCTTAGATACTCCTAAAATGACTCTTACTAGACTAGTCTCTAATTATAACACCACTTTCACTAGGAATTTATAGCACAGTGAGTTCTCAGAAATTTTTCTTCCATTGTCTTGGAAAAACCTAAACTTGACACACTTTTAAGAGGTTGATACAATACCTACAATTAAGGAAAGTCTTAGCTCTCACTGAAAGCCTTTACCTAATTCCTCCATCCCTGGTCCTCTTCTGGTGCAAAAACTGAGGTGGGGGCAAGTACAACCAACTCCAGTTCCTAAGGTTGCAGGCTACTAGCAGGTTCCCTAACCACGCACAACCAGCAGACTCCTTCTCAGCTCAGCTGCCAAAATGACCCACCAAACCAGTCCACTTCCCCACCTACACCCATCTCCAGCTGGACCCAGAGGCAAACACTAAGTAGGAGGAAGTAAAGTTGGAGTTTATCATCATTACTACACCCTCCATTTATAGAACTTTTTTTTTTCTTTTTACTATACCTTTATGTATATTCTCTCTTTTGGTCCTGTCAGGGAAAAAAGGCTAGAATAATACAAATCCATAGAAAGGAGTTCCCTTATTCATGTTAACCAGATGCCCCCCCAAAAAACTTCAAAACCCACACATAAAGTCACATCGACTCAGTGTGCCTCAACCATTCCCATAGATCCACACTGAGATAAAAATAAATACACTAGTGGTGGAAATAAATCTGCTTACTCTTGATTGGGAATTCAGAAACCTGAGTTCTTTTCCCAACTTCGGCACTTAATTATATGACATTGTACAAGTGACACCCCTTGTCCCAAACCAGGCATTAATTTTAACATCTGTTCTAAATCTATGCTGCCAAATACAGTAGTCACTATCCACATGTGCCTATTCAGCACCTGAAATGTGGCTAGTGTAACTAAGGGACAGAATTGTTTATTTTATTAACTTACATTTAAATTTAAATAACCCCATGTGGCTAGTGGCTACCATACTGGACAGTGCAAAATAATGTAGGCGTGTCAGCTTAAATGATCTGCACCATCTCTCCGAGGTGTTCTATGCAGTTCTATTATACAGGGTTCATTTAAACTCACCCAGCACTCTCAATGTGCCTCTGTCTCACCAGAAGTGATAACCCAGGGTTGCTTCATACCCGTAGGATAGGCCGTGGAGTAGAAAGAAAACAAAAAGTGGTGAGAGACATATTTTCACAGATCGACTGATTTTTGTCATTGACTCTGAGTTTCTACAAGCTGGAACAAAAGGGTAAATCAAGGCTATCTCAGCCTGTGTAGATTAGTGTACATGTGTGTAAATAATTGGGCTATGGGCAGAGTAATACTCTTTACACCCTTCCAAAATGCCATTACCATTGATTGTGGAACATTTTCAGTCCTGGAGGAAAAAAATATGATTCCTCTTGATTTTGTAGCAAAAGTAATACATCTTGACAGAGTGTCTTTCTTTCTGGCCTCAGTATCCTCATCTGTAATATGACAAAGTTGGACTAGATTTATTTATTCAACAATCCAAACAAGGCAAGGAGCTAAAAGCTGGAGACACAATGATGAATCAGACATGCCATACTGTCAGGAACTCAATCTAATAAAAAGTCTAAACAAGATGCGTTTTCAAGCCCCCCTCAGCTCTATGAGTCTATATAAGCTATTAATCCTGTGGCTGATGGTTAATATTTGAATGCTGTGCGGTTGGAAATACCTTAACTTTCTACCCAAGAACTATTTCATTAAGGCAGATTCCCCATTCACCTACATGTTATTCCCCTTCTTCCCATTCATTCCCTACTTGGTTCTCTCCACCCCAGTGAGAAAGTAATAACTGTAAGAGTCTGGAAAAATGAGAAAAATTGGAAATATGGCAGCAAAGTGGTATCATCCTGGGCACTTCACCTTTTCCTGCAAAAATAGAAAATGTGAGGATGGGTATGTAATGAAGATGGTCAGGGACTCCCGAGGTTCAGCTTTCAGCCAATGATTATTAAACAGGCCTATAAAACAAACAATAACACACTCGAGGAAGTTGCTTCTTAGTTCAATCAAGTCTACGAGACCAGATGGGCAACATCTGCCCAAAAGCAAAAGATGAGAAGGCAGAAAGGGACAGGAAAACTGGATGACGGAGAACACATGGTGGAAAGGGAGAGGGGGAGAGTGCTGACACATTTTGAGGATTGCAACCAATATCACAAAACAATTTATCTATACAAAGAAAGACCAGACTTACTGGCCTGACAGACTGGAGAAACCCCGGGAGTATGGCCCCCGGATACCCTTTTAGCTCAGTAATGAAGTCACTCCCTAGGTTCACCGTTCAGCCAAAGATTAGACAGCCTCATAAAACAAAATGAGAGTAATGGGGCACAACGGTCCAGGGACAAGGACTAGAAGGCAGGAAGGGACAGGAAAGCTGGTAATAGGGAACCCAAGGTTGAGAAGGGACAGTGTTGACATGTCATGGGGTTGTTAACCATTGTCATAAAACAGTATGTGTACTGTTTAATGAGAAACTATTTGTTCTGTAAACCTTCATCTAAAGGACAATTAAAAATAATAATAAAGATAAAAAAAATAAAAAGACTGTCAGGGAAAAAAAGAAATGATGAACAGACAAAGAAAGAAGACAAGGAATCTGCTGACAATTATAGCAAATATAGTATAAATTGATGTAGCTGAACAAGACAAAAACCCATTTTGGGATGGGTGGAGCACTACCCTTCCCATAACTCAGGAGGTAGAGAAGCAGCTAAGGGAGGAAACAAGTAGTGGAGCACAGAGAAGCTCCTCAGCTGTAGTGGTGCCATTTTGCAGCTCAAAGATCTAGCCCTTTTCTTTTTTCTCCATTACCTGAATATGAACTACTCCTCTACCATAGCTCAAGATGGCTGTAACATTCTAGACTAGAGGGGAAGTGATACTCACCTTCTGTTTCCATTATGGACTTTCCCCTAGGTCTCTGGGAATTCGAACTCAGTTGAAGAAATTCTAGTTAGAATGTCAGTTTACTTACTAAAACACGCCATGGGGAGGATTCGAAAGTCTGGTCTTAGATACAAATATTATCTCACATTTAATTTGGTTGGATGGTCTTTTTCTCCAGTCACCACCACCACCACAACTAAGGATTCTGCAAAAAGAGATGAAGATTCCAGGGGCCTTAGAACTCTGGCCCCAGGTCGGCTGTGAGGTAATTCTGGTATTTAGGGAAGCAAATGTTGAGTAAATGGCTGTTCTTGCAGCAGGTAACAAGCCAGAGCGCTATTGCTGGGCTCATGCTTTACTGAGTACATTAAACTAGTTATTAGTTATGGGAAGCCGCCATGTTCTAAAAGTCTTAAAATGAACATGAGTTATGTCCATTCCCATATAGAACCTTCTTAATATAACTCAGTATAATTGATGTAACCAACTTATATCAAGGTCTTATCCATCTGGTTCATAACATCAAGGTGCTGCCCCAGGCATGTTACCTATTCTACAGAAGTCAGACATCCCACAGCTCTAACATTCCAGAGCCTAGCCAAAGCCCAAGAGCACTTACCTAGCTCCCAAATTCCTAACATAGTACCACTGACAGCAAACACAGTCACTCTAGACCATTCTCAGTGAGACAGAAAAAAAAACCCACTTTTAACCTAGTGGAGGCAATTGATTGTTCTGGAGATTTCAAGAAACAAAGCTTAAGCTAAAACAATTATTTTCTAAGACATAATGCACCAGAAAAGAAAAGGCTTTTTAGAATGTGGATAGAGCCACAAGTGTCATAAAGGAAAGAGAGAGATAAGAAATTTATCTCGCCTAAGTTCAAGTTTCACATGTCAGTTATATTAGCATATACTAGTAGGATTTCTTTTCCCTTCTACAAATAGTCTAACTATTCCCCAATCATAAAAATCAGAGAGAACTAAGCTGAATAGAGTACACTCCTCCCTGCTTCCCATCTCAGAGCAGCTGTGTGATTTCCTGAGGATTCTGTTGCAGGAGCCAGGGATAAAAGCTCATTTACACACACAACAACCTACTAGTCTCCAGTTTCTATTCTTCCTCCTTCCCCACCCCACCCCCACTTTGCACCAGAGAAGCAAAAAACAGGCGTGCTTTGAGTTTGGGGACTAATCTGAAAGAGGAAGAAGAATCTGTATACATTGGCTAGCGAATGTGCCCTGCCCTCCCCCTCTTCAAAATAGCAGCAACTTATCTTTTTAAAGATGCTTGTCCAAAGAGGAAGCACCCTGTGAATGGGGTGTGCTTTCAGGACCCTCCAGGTTATCCAGGCTCACTGTGCAGCTAGCTCACCAGCAAGGGTTGGCTCTCTAAGGGACTTGTAGATTGGATTTACTGAAGACCTAGAGCTTGCTTCTGAGAGTGAACACAGAAGGACCCTAAACTGTCAACCTTGAAGGTAGCAGGTAAGGAGATCCAGTGTTCAATGTTAGGACCAGAAGAGTGTACACTAAAATTCTGTGGACAGCAGATTTTAGCAAATTCCAGGGAGGTGTGGGATATCTAACCTGCCCTGTCTGCTTTAAATTAGGCTGCAAGTACGAATTATTTTTTCTGTTTTATTTCTTAGCCAGAGACTTGATAATCTAATCAGTCTATCAACAAGTATTGCTCAGTGCTTCTGCTAGGTCTCAGTGTGGCAAAATACAAAGGAGACACTTTCCAAACCTCTAGCACCTTTGCAAGTAAGCCAGAAATGTAGAGCATAGTTTAAAATCCTGTTTTTAAGGGCTCAGTGGAGTTTCTTTAATCTGTAATGGCAGTTTCCTTCAATATGGAAAGAAAATATATACTGACTGCTGAAGGTAAACCAAACAGTGAAGAATGATCTGGCATTTTCACAAGGTGGTTTCACATTTATTATCCCACCTGAACCTCTCAACACTCTGTAATGTAGACAGGGTAGGCGTTATTACTGTTTTACAAATGAGGAAATAGATTCAGAGAAGTTAAGTAATTTTCTAAAAACACGTGGCACAGCTAGAAATTGACAAGTTCTGACTAGAGACTGCAGGTAGAAAGCTCTTTTAACTATAAATGAATATAAGGAAATTGCATACATAATCTATTTAGTAGCTCAGAAATGAAACATATCAGACATAGACTAGGTTTACACAGAGCCCGCAATTCATAAACTTTAATCACAATCTTTGGCCAGGAGTATTCATTTACTTGGCAGCAAGGAAGTTGTTTTCAGGGATAAACAAATGGCTTGGTGTGGGTCCATCTCTAGCTAAAAATCCATGAATTCAGTGGTTCCTTTTTCCAATGCTCTGATTGTTTTGGAACCTAAAGAGAGATTATGACTCCATAAATCTAACAAAACAAAACCCACTGCCATAGAATCAATTCTGACTCATAGCAACCCTACAGGACAGAGTAGAACTACCCCCTAGGGTTTCCAAAGCTGTAAATCTTTACAGAAGCAGACTGTCACGTCTTTCTCCCACGGAGCGGCTGGTGGGTTTGAACCACCGACCTTTTGCTTAGTAGCCGAGCACTTTAACCACTGCATCACCAGCTCTCATAAATCTAGCAGGTGATTATTTTAAAACAATATGTGACTAAACCTGGACTCAGAACTGAATTGTATTTTAAATATATTAGTGAAATTTCTTTCTAAACAAGTTTAAGTTTATGGTATCTATTGCAACAAGTCTTAATCATTCCAAAATAGTTTTTTGTTGATGTTTTACTATTAATGGCCCAATTAGAACTAAAAGATGTCAGTGTTTACATAGTAAATAAACAACCTCAAGTACTATATTTATATCCATCCCCCTAACAAAAAAACTGTTCTCCAACCCTCCATAATGTTTACATGACGACACCAGCCAATCCTTTCCTGTCAATAAAATAAGTCAGCTTGGGAGCCAGTGAGACCACCCAGAAGGTTGAGTTAAGGAAAAGTTTGCAGATTGAGTCTAAGCTGAATCTTCACATTTCAGTGTCTTTCCATCCCAGAATCATCAATTCTTATTTTCCACTACCTTTGCCTTCCTACCCTTAATCAAGATTTTGAGGAGTTTGGCATCTTTATCTGGAATTAAAGCATTATTCTTTCACGGTGCAAGAAACTATAAATTTGCCTTTGCAATGTCATTGGCTGATAATATTTTAAAGGGAGAGCACTGATGCTTAAGGTACATACCTAACACGAAGAGTAACTAACATAATCTCCCAAATAACATAGCTCTGCATGGACCTCTACTTTGATCCAGTATGATATTTCTTACGCTCCAAAACAGCAAATGAAGGTCCCAAAAGCTTGACTCCATCCTTGTCATTATGGTCAACTCTGCTTTGAGGAGGCAGCTCTTCCCCAGTCGTATTTTGGGCACCTTCCAACCTGAGGGGCTTATCTTCTGGCACTATATCAAATAGTGTTCAACTGTTATTTGTAAGATTTTCACTGGACAATTTTTTTAGAAGTAGATTGCCAGCTCCTTCCTCCTAATGTTAGTCTGGAAGCTCCACTGAAACCTGTCCACCATGGGTGGCCCTGCTGCTATTTGAAATAGCAGTATCATAGCTTCCAGCATCACAGCAACACACAAGCCACCACAGTACAACAAATTGACAGGCGAGTGGTGGGTTTAGTTGGTAGGAGAGCTTTAAAAAGTACTGAAGATAAGAATGGAAAGAAAGTTTAAACTTGTCCATAAATCAGCAATAGAAAAGGTAGTCTTGATTGAACACCACCTGAACCATACCTTTTCCTTTCTCAGAATCTGGTTATTGCCTATAGGAGAAGGTACAAATATCATCCCACTAGATTATATTAAATTAATTCTCAGAGTTCCTTCTCTTCCTGTGAATTTGATAGCATAATATCACATTTGTTTTTCTAAGGTGTATTCAATTCTTTGAAAAATTCTACTAGTGTTATCTGGGCTCTTTTTACAACAAGAAATGTCAGGGCAAAGAGTAACTTAGCAGTATCCTGGTGTTCAGAATTCCATGAGTGGAGACCAGACATGATCACAGAGTGAGTCATATGAGAAGGGATGAAAGCTCTGTTCCCACACAATTGCTAGGTGAACCACGTCCCTGTGAAATAATTCCCAAACAGCACTACTATGTTGAAGAAAACTGCTAGAAGTGGATATAAAACCCTTGGTTTGGATTGAATGGCCTAGTTTTATAGAATATTAGAGCAGGAAGGACACTTAGAGAACATCTAGCACAACTCCACTCCCTCCATGACCAAGAAAGATAAAATGATTGCCAAAAGTACTATAGAAAATTAGTGACAGATCCAGATGCCTGCCTCAGTCCAGTGCTATTTTCACTACAGCACACTGTTTAGTTTCAGATTCCACAAGGCCTGTCAATAAAACACTGACATAAGACAAATTCATACACTGGTATAAATGATGACAGTTGAACAAACTGTTGTGTAGAGGACTACATAAAAGCAAAGGACTGATCAGTTTATTTGCTCTCTCTTCAGTTATAATACAGGCATATTGTTTACTGGATATTATAAATTACAACTTTCTTTTAGACTTTCTTGTCTCTCTTCTGTTCAATCTGTCCTTATCACTTGTGCTAGATTATTCTTCTTAATGCACAGTTTTAATCATATTATTGCTCTCTCAAAGATCTCCAGTGATCTATTAAATTAAGCTTGAGGCACCATTAAAGGCTACAATAATATTCCTTCCTAACTTTATATAGTCAGTTTCTTGTGGTTTACTACATGTATATTATGTAACTATGACCTTATGACCAGCTCCATCCCTCATTTTGTCTATTTGCCTTTGCTCAGGAAATTTTGTGACCTGAAATGTTCTTTCTCCTCATTGCTATCAGACATAATTTTAACAATCCCTAAGACCATCTCTTACATCACCTCCTCCATGGAAACTTTCCTGATCCTCTGTAAAAAACAAAACAAACAAACAAAAAAACTCCACAAAAACAAACCCGTCGCCGTCGAGTTGATTCTAACTCATAGCGAACCTATGAGGACAGAATAGAACTGTCCCATAGGGCTTCCAAGGAGAGTCTGTGAATTCAAACTGCTGACCTTTTGGTTAGTAGCCATAGCTCTTAACTACTACACCCCCAGGATTCTCTGTAGTACTGTGATATACCAGTCATATTAGAAGTGATATATTAACCACTGGCTGTTGTTAGGTGCGCTCAAGTCAATTTGTGACTCATAGAGACCGAACGTGCCCCATAGGTTTTTAAAAAAGAATTTTATTTATTTTAAATAATATTTTATTTATATTTTCGGTGAAGGTTTACGCAGCAGTTTAGGTTCTCATTCAACAATTTCTACACAAGTTGTTTTAGTGACATTTGTTACATTCTTCAAAATGCATGAACATTCTCTTTATTTCCGTTCTGGTTGTTCTGTTTCCATTAATCTAGTTTCCTTGCCCCCTTACATTCTCATCTTTGTTTTAAAGTATTTGTTGATAGTTTTGTCTCTGTTTCATTTACTTCTGCTCTAATTTTTATTATTTTGTGGGTTTCTTTTGCTGCTCTCTTTCTAATTGTTCGAGTTGTAGGGTTAAGGTTTTGATTTTTCTCCTTTCTTCTTTTTTGATGTGTGCATTTATTGCTATAAATTGACCTCTGAGCACTGCTTTTGCTGTGTCCCAAAGGTTTGGGTATGTTATGTTTTCATTCTTGTGATTCTAGGAATATTTTAATTCCATCTTTGACTTCTTCTATTACCCAGTAGTTTTTAAGCAGGGTGTTATTTAGTTTCCATTTATTATTTTTTTTCCTTGCTCTTCCTGTTATTAATTTCTACCTTTATAGCCTTGTGATCAGAGAAGATGCTTCACATTATTTCCATGTTTTTTAATTTGTTGAGGCTTGCTTTGTGGCCTTAAATGTGGTTTATTCTGGAGAATGATCCATGAGCATTGGAGAAGAATGTGTACTTTGCCCCTGGTGGGTGATGTGCTCTGTATATCTCTATGAGGTCAAGTTGGTTGACTGTGTTATTTACATCTTCTTTGTCTTTGTTGAGTTTCTTTCTGGTTGTTCTGTCCTTCACCAACAGTGGTGTGTTAAAGTCTCCTAGTATTACTATGGAACTGTCTATTTCTCTTTTCAATGCTGTTTAGAGTTTGTTTTATGTATTTTGGAGCTCTGTTGTTGGGTTATGTCTTCTTCGTGGATTGACCCTTTAATCATTATATAATGTCCTTCCTTGTTCTTTATAGTGGATTTTGCTTTAAAATCTATCTTATCAAAGATTGCCATTCCTGGTCTTTTTTGTTTATTGTTTGCTAGATGTGTCTTTTTCTATCCTTTAAGTTTTAGTTTATTTATATCTTTGTGTCTAAGGTGTGTCTCTTGCAGATAGTATACTGATGGGTCATTTTTTTTTTTAATCCATTCTGTCACTCTCTGTCTCTTTACTGGTACATTTAGGCCATTT